TCACCAGCCAGGAGATCTCGGCCGCGCACTGCTACAACCCGTGCCTGAACGAGTGGAGCCAGCTGGCCTCGATGAACCAGAAGAGGTAACCTCTGCTCCCTGGTGTGTGTCCCTGTCTGGTGTTGAGGTAGATCCTGTTCGCTCACATGGCACTGGCAGACCTCTCTGTGCTCTGAACCACCAAGCAAACCCAATGAGAAAACTCCTTTCCCGCTTTCTTTGTGGTGGGTTGTAACTCCAGATAAGTGTGTAAAACGCCAATCACTTGTTTTTAAAATTTTAAAAGTTTAATAGTAATAAAGTGGTTATAAAAATTGCAATTCAATTAGAGTAATAATAGTTTGGACAGACTGAATTAGGACAATATGAGACAATAAAAACAAAGAGTTACGGACGTCCGGGTTCCTTTTTCTGGGCAGCATGAGCCCAAAAACGGACACCCGTTAACAAGGGATTAACCCTTAAAAACAATAGCTTGTTGCATATTCATACACTTCATACATAATGCATAAATTCCATTCAAACACAGGATTCTGCCTGGTCAGTGTCAACTTCTTCCTCTGAATCCTTACAGCGCCTTCGAGGCGGGAAGAAGTTAGTTTCTTCTTATAAGAGGACAATAAATTCTTTTTCTCTGAAAGATTTGGGTGTCCTGGGGCTGCTGTCTGGTGCAAATGCCTCATTTCCTTTCTTAAAAAAATCCCACTAACATAGTTCTTATTTTAACAACAAAAGTTATCTTTTAACTACAAGACTACATTTATCATATTAATAAAATGTTAATACAGCACTACTAATCAATACATAAAAACACATATGGTAAATAATCTGCTTAGAGCCATGTAATATGCACTTTTCACATAAGTATGTGACAAGTTTTCCTGCTCTTAGCAGGGATGTACAGCTGTACCAGAGCTGGAGATGGCTGAAACAATTTAGTTGCAGCAGTTGTCCAGTGGTTTGTACTTTCATAAAAATCTCAATGTTTTGTAGGCCTGCACTTCAGTGAAATACCAGAAAAACGTCAGGAAGATGGTGAGAAATTTCTCACTTGATGGGAATGTTTGGATCTGGGAATCATTCATTGTTTTGACAGTTTTTCTTTTTTACCTTTATGCTTTTGAACCATTTACTACACATTGATGTTTTAGTTTGCATTCAGAAACACTTGTATAATTTATATTTGAAAGAGCAATAGAGACCTAGCCTTGAGGAGGGCCCGAGAGGGAAGGCCTTGTCCCTGGCCAAGGTTGTGGCTCCTCTACCTTAACCACACTTTGGAGTTTTAAAAACAAAAGCTTTCATTTCACTGAAACAAACTGGCTTTGTTTCCAACATGAACTTCCTCTTTGTTTCCATTTTAGTAAAAGTGTTTTAAATTTTATCTTTTCTCTCTGAAAAAGTAAGGAGGCCAAAATTCACTGTAGAGTGGAAATCCTCTTCTCTATCCAGTGAACTGAAAGAGCATGCACACAGACCCAAGCTGTTGTGCTTTGTATCTGGGTGGTTAAACTGCAATTTTTATTCCTGGCTCTGTTTAGCTTTTGCCACCTAAACCCCCTCAAAACAGGGATTAGACCTAAAATTAAATCTTTCCAATTTCACCTTTTTGTCCCCCCCCACTTCTTGTATTGTGAGAATTTTACTAAAATAATCACCTTCCTAATCAGTCATCGCAACTGATGAGAATCCATTTTTCTCAGGGTTTCTGACTGCTTGGAACGGCGCTGGGAAAAGTTTCATCTGTAAATGAATGTTTGGCTTTTAAGCACTACAAACACCTTTTCTTACAGACCTTTCTCAGAGGCTGAGCCTGTAGCAGAGTTCCCTGAGGTGCCTGGGGAACAGAGATGTTTTAGCTAGCTTCATTTGACGGGGTTGGGAGCACTTGGCCTCGCTAGAAAAGCAGGGTGGGGTCAGCCCACACAGTGTCTCATATGGAAACTGATCACAGAAGTGCCACATTGATCGAATCACGAGGTTCTGTTTCTGTGATGTCTATAGCAAGAGAGCTGTTACTATGTATGTTGACTCTGCAACGTGGGTTTTTAAAAAATACCTTCTCCAAGGTATTTTTTGCCCCATACAGTTTGTGTATTCAAACTCTATATCAGCCTTTTTTCCTCCACACTTTCCCTTTTTTTGCTTTTGCTAGGATGTATAATCATTATACTTGAGATAAACACATGGATATTTTATCCTCTTACTGTTTTCAATGGCATTGCCATATCAACTTAATCTTCAAACCCATCACAGTTGGCAGCAAGGTGTTCCTTTATGTGGCTGTGTTCACAGGGGTCTGAGGATGAGGGAAGAGATGAGGATCTGACTCCATGTTTCAGAAGGCTTGATTTATTATTTTATGATGTATATTATATTAAAACTATACTAAAAGTATAGAAGAAAAAATTTCATCAAAAAAAATAGCTAAGAATAAAAAAAGAAAAAATAATAACAAAAGCTTGTGGCTCGGATAAAAAGTCTGAGCTAGCTCACTCTTATTGGCCATTTACTAAAAACAACCACATGAGACCAATCACAGATCCACCTGTTGCATTCCACAGCAGCAGATAATCATTGTTTACATTTTGTTCTTGTAGCTTCTCAATTCTGAAGAGGAAAAATCTTCAAAAGATTTTTCATAGAAGATGTCTGTCTAGCCTTTAGACTAGAGTTTCACACTGGCCATTTACTGCAGAAAGACAGCAGGCAAATGGATATTTTTGGAATAATCTTTATTCTTAAATTTCATAGTAGCTATTGCAGGCCAAAAAGTCCCCAGAATTACACCTGCAAAGTAGCAGTGAGGACGTTGTTCCCTGAATAACTGGGGGAACTTTTTTTAATGGAAACTCAGCTGACTCCTTCACAAATCACATTTCTGATTTTGCCAGCTTCATGGAGTCTCAGCTCTGCAGTTAATTATTACTTTTTCTATCTGATATGACATGTCAGCTCCCTGATGACCTGCTTGGTGCTCTGCAGGAGGGATGGCCTGTGTCCTAGGAGCCAGGAGCAGCATCATTTTTAACAAGAGGGGTTTGCATGCTGCATGTCCAGTGCTGATGCCTGTCTGCCACACATCTGTGCTGCAATTAGAGCTGCAGTTCTCTTGGCATTGTATTTTTAGTTTGTTATACTGTAGTAAAATAAGCAGGGTGGTTGCCCAGCCTTCTGCTTGGGAATTACAGCCATGTGACTGTCTGGCAAATGAATTTATGTCAGCTGATACAATTACATCCCATGGATGAAATTCGACATACCTTCAGGGAGGGCTCTAGTTTCCATTGAAGTTGGTTTGACTTCAGACTGCAGAGGATCTGCATTTGTCCTGCTTGAGTGACCCCATGTGTTGGCCTCAAAGGAAGGCTGAGGAGTTATGGATATAATTTTTCTGCTCTACTCTTCATGTAGGAGCTTTCTGCCCTAAACAAACCTTTCAAGTTCTATGGTGTTTTTATCATGAATTATTTCCATTGTTGTAATCTCCTCATGCTTAGATGAAACACTTCTAAGTTACTTCTAAGTAGAAGACGAAAGCCACCTGAATGTTTAGCAGCCATTCTGGTTTGGGTCTTCACTGTTGGCTTTCTTTTTAGGTGTACAGGTCTTATTACTTTAGTTTCAAATTTTTTCACAATAAGTAAGTCATGTATAATGTTCTTGTGATATCCCCCAGGAGCTTCAGAGAGTGTTATTCCCAATTTATGCATACCCAAGGGAGCTAAAATAATGTGCTCAGGCTCCCCAAGGAAGCCTTTGGCTGAGTGTGGAATTTCTCATCGTCTGAGTGCTAAATCCAGTGCTGATCACAAATAATCCACAGCAGATCAGATTTTCTAGACCTTTTCATTCTAGACGTGTTTCTGTACTTGGAATTCTCAAGACAGAGAATGACCTGAACTTTTTAATAGAAGCAGCTCCATGTTAGAGTTGCCCAAGATCACTTGTGGTCTCTGGAGTCAAGAAGGTAACAAAGTGTTTCAGTAATGTCCTTGAATACCTTCTAAACATTTTCTTTTTTTTTTTTAAGTGAATGCTGTCTGGTGAAATTTACTATTTAAAAATAATATACTCATAGGACTTCTACTGCAATATGCCAGTTACAGATGTATATTCCACTTGGATTTTCCTTCAGAACCTTCACACACATGGCAGGTACATCTTCCAGGCCTGGAAGACCTATGTAAGCCCAGGCTGGAATTATGGAACATGATTTTTGTGAGCAATCTGTACCTGAACCACTGCCACTCTCATGATTCTTACAGAAGTGTAGGAGATGATGATTCTAGGGAATACTGCTTGTTCAGGAGATCTTCTCTTTCCCCGTTTTTTACTGTTTTTTTTTTTTTTTTTAATTCGCTCACAATTCTTCTGTGATGGAATAAAATAGTCTTCAACATTTTTTTAAGTTACAGCCATCCACACCTTACTTACCACAAATGTATCACACACTTCTTAAGCTAAATGTTTGATGCAGTGTACTCTGTGAATTCACATAAGAAATATAAAAAAGGGAGAAAAAGGAATCATTGATAATATGTAAAACACTTTGGAATTGCTCCGTAACTGTGTTTTCACGGTTCCTTGTCTGTGTTGTAAGTGCTTCAACTCTAGAATAAAGAGGTCATCTGATTTTTGAGAAATTTTAAGGTTAAATTCATCATTTGGCAGGAAGAAACAATGCTGGTTACTCCAAGGCTCATGTTCTGCAGCAGGACCTAGGCTACCTTGCAAATAAATACATGTTTAACTCGCTCTTGAAATCTTCCAGCAGTGTAGATTCCAACCTACACTGGAAACTTCCTCCCAGCTCTCTTGTTCCCATGTTTAGTCACCCCTCTGATCAGAAAGTCCTCCCCAGTATCTGGGCTAACTCTTTTTGTTGTACACTGAGGTTGTCAGTGAACAAAAACCTTGTGTGTCCTTCATAGCCACTGTCCCCACGGGCTCCTGCAGATACACTGAGCACAGTGCAGAGCCATGAGGGGTTTTGGGAAGCTGTGGAATGTTATCTTTCATGCAAAAAGCCTCTCTGCTCCAGCTCCTTTGCATTCATTGTTATATTTTCCTTCCTTTGTGCACCAGCACTTTGCACTTTGTTGAGTGAAGAACGGATTTTGAGCGATGGTGGAACTGCTGTTCCTGGGCTCCTGTTCAGAGTCAGTGGGGGCAGCAGAAGACAGCTCATATCTCAGTTTGTCCCAGCAAGAAGGGACCCTCTAGGCCTGGTTTTTGGGAAGTACATCTTGGTCCCTCAGGTTTAGACAAGTCACAGGTGTGAGTGGAGCTCTGTTGTGGTGGAATCTGTCTGATTCTGCCCTGCTGTTTCCAGGCTGTGGTCCATGGAACAGTTGGTTGTGGAGAGCTGGCTGCCTGCTCAGTGTTTGCTTTCCTTGTTTCCAGCTGCTGCCACACATGAAAAGAGACTAAAAATGCACTAAATATTTCCTAATGTGCACTCTCCATAAAGACACCTGCTGTTACTGGCATGGAAAGGTGAATGGCAGAAGTTTTTCATAACATATTGAGCCATTGTCCAAACTTTCATATGAAGTGTGCTGATGGATACTTGCAGCTACTTTTGAGTAAAATTAACCTTATTGTTAGTGAATTCCATAAACCTGAGATACCTCCACTGAATGTCATCCATTTTAATGAGTGTTTGCAAGTGGTTAAATGACTGACATGAAGGTTTGTGACTTCCTTTTAGATTATTTAAAGCTGAAAGTTGTCCTGTTTGTGTTTCAATAGATAACTTTCCCAGTGGTTTTGCCCCTTTGTTAATTTGTGGAAATTTTTTCTCTGTCCTAACTTTTGCAATAGGTATATTGCTTTCCAAATTGTAATGTTTTGCAAATACTTATCCTCATTTCATACCTGCTTTTGATTGCCATGTTATTCTGGATTCTCTGAAATGGAAAGCATAATTGCTATTGAGGGAATATGAGCAGACTGACCTAATCGTAGATGTCAGGGGAAAAAATAAGAATAAAAAGTAATTAATTCCTTCAGAGGAGCGTTTTAGTTTCCAAAGCTGTATCAGGCTGACAAGAACAAAGTGATTCCATCTGGAAACAAATCCTTTTTCCAAATAGATTTAATAAAAGAAGCTGCAGGACAGTCTGCAGCTAGGCAGGGTTCATTTTATCCAGACAAAACCCTGTAAAAGTACTTAGCAGTAAGTTTTGAATGTTGGATTCCTGCAGGGTGGTACTCCTTTTGCTGCCCAGCAGGTCTGAAACATCATTTCAGTTTTACAGACACAACACAGTTCCCTGTTTGACTTTGTGCTGAGCTGGTGCACTCCAGGGACTGCCACACATCCAGTTAATTGGGATGGCAATGGTAAAATCTCAGTTGGCTCAGCAGAAGAGAAGGAACAACCTTTCTAGGCAATGAGACTGTTCCTGGGGAGAGGAAAAGCTCATCCTCTGTTAGGCCAGCTTCCCTAGCTGGAAGGAAGAGCAGCATACAAGAGTTCTTTCTTCACATCCTCCAGCTTCTTCCTCCAGATCTGCACCTCTAACACCCATGGACCATTTGTTTCTGTCTGTGTTACCTTCAGGGTGTGAGATAGGAGACTTCTCGTGCTTCAGAATCCAGAAGTTGTCCTTTGCCATGTGGGAATTTTGAGAGCATAGTGGAACAGACTAAGAAAGAAATGACCCATTTGGAGGGCATTGCTCATGGGATGCAATGTCGTTTTTGTTCAGCTGTGGGTAGAACATAATTTACAGATAGATATTGCTTCAGAGGATGTATTTAGTAGTTTAATGCTGAGTAGGCTACAGAGGATTCTCTCTTCTTTCTTTTGCTGAACAGGATTCAATGTGTTCCACTTTAAATTGCTTTTTTATTAGGGTTATTAAAGAGAGTCAAATAAGTATGCCTTCACAGGCATCCATCAAGCCTTGTTTGAAATTTCTGCAATTTTAGCTGAAATTACATCTTTCTCTGTGTGTCCATGTAATGCACTTTTCTCTACTGATGGCACATTGTTAAAAGCCTGATAAAAATGACCTGTCTGCTGAGCACATTGGTTAACTGAACATCTAGAGCTGAACTGGCACAGACTGAAATACAAAATAAAATATTCCTCAGTCTCAGCAGCATCATCAATACCATTCAAACTGTCACTGAGTAATTGCAGTGTAGTTACAGCATTTTGGCCTGGCACAGAAGAGTTCAGATGCTGCAGATCCCTCAGGCAGTGGTGCAAGCTGTGAGTGGTGATGAGTCTGTCAGAGCCTGGGTAGGAAGAACTTTCCTCTGTATTTCTGATGCACCTCATTTCAGTGCTGCAATCTGTTCTTTCAGGTCCAACTTCAAGCTGCTGGCTGTCAGTGGGAAGCTCTATGCCATCGGTGGCCAGTCCCTTTCCAACGTGGAGTGCTACAACCCGGAGAACGACTGGTGGAATTTTGTGGCGTCCATGCCAAACCCTCTTGCAGAATTCTCAGCTTGTGAATGCAAGGGCAAGATCTACGTTATTGGAGGATACACTGCACGAGGTAACAAGTTTGCTGTTAGTTCTTGTTGCTTTTTACCTGATTGTTTCCAAGGCCTAGATAATTTTCTCCTGTTCTTCAGGAAAGCTTTTGAACTCGTGTAGAAGGCTGCGTAATGCTGATTAAAACACAAAGAAGTAAATTGCTGGTGGAAAATTGTTGATGAAATAAACAAAACAAAAGCTCTATCAGAAAAGAATCAGGGTTGTTTTGGGGATTTTTTTCCAGAGCTTTTGTGGACCTGGGGCTCTGTTACTTGCAGAGAACAAGCTGATGGGTACTTCAGCACCCAGCTTAGCCACTACCCCTTTTCTTAGATTTTAATCATGCACTAGAGAGACGTCTCAATAGATACACTTTGTTTCCTTTTTAAATACCTGGTTTAGACTGTCAGAAGGAATAATTAATAAAAAATATCTGCCTGCCTCCGTATTTCTCATGTATTAATAGATGTCATGGTCTTTTCACTACAGTACTTCAGTGTTTCACAGGCAAATTCAAGTTATACCTTAATAGAACAATCAAAAGCTGAAGCAAGAACCAACACTTTCAGCTTACTTAATTTCTATACCACATTTTCTGTGGACACTTTACAGAGGGGAGGATTTGAAGTTTCATTCTCTTCTGACAATTACTTTTATCCAGTGGGCAAATAAGTTCAGTTAAAAAAATGCTTCCATTTGTTCATTCTTTAAGTACATAGTGCCATTTTTTGGGACGAAGATATTTTCTCAGAGCTTTAGAAGTCAACTTTTCAAACATGTCAAATGTTCAGTATTTACCAGGAATTCGTAAGTTTGAATTTGGCCTTTTCCTACTTCAGTTGACCACAGAAGTTTTAAGGCTTTCTTTCCAAGCAGAGAATGAAATTAGAAGACAGATCAGCTTTTACAGACAGTACTGCAATCAAAACTAAACTGATGGTAGAACAAGCTAAAAGTGTCTGAGCAGATTTGAACCTCTGAATCATTTTATAAAAGACACACTGCTACCCCTTAAGGTTCCTTTTCTGACACTTGTGCTGTGCTTTCATCAGGCTGCCTAGTGCTGGTGTCATGAAGAGGAAGATCAGCACATTGCTGATGCAGATCCCATTCCTTGCATGTGCAGATAGGATTATTGCCCTGTGTCAGCCTCCTGACGCAGTACTTGCTGCCTGTAGGTTTAGCTGAAGGAGAGTTGTGCGTTACCTCTGGCTTCCTCCACACTCCAGGGCATTGCTGCTGCCCTCCAAACCCCTGTCCTTTCCAGGTCTTTTCCTAAAAGCCTTTTTCAATGGAAATGGAGCAGTAAAACAATAGGAAGTTTTGAGCAGTGGATAACTAGCACACTTAGGCTTCTGTATAAATCCAGGATCACTCCGGACAACAAACACCTGTGGTTGCTATAAATAATTGCCTGAACAAGGCTCTGGAATCAGTTTTTTTGTGACATCTTGGTAGCAAACTTAGACACCAGGATTGCCACAGTTGCACTGGTGATTTTCCTTCTGAAGTATGCCAATTTCAGAAAGTGTTAAGACCTAAAGATATGAGAAACACTAAGGTTTGTGTGCTGGTTTGCTACCTTTACTACGTAAAACACATGCAGCAATTAATGGGGTTTTTTTAATGATGTTATTTTTAGTAATTTTTGATATTTCTGTATATACCTCAGTTTTGGTAGATTTTGTGGGCTGTTTTTTAAATTTGTGTAGAGCATTCTCCTGAGACTGCACTTTCCAAAAGATGGCAGGATCTGGAATTTCCCACTGTAAATTATAATAACACTTCTTGAATAAAGTCCTTCTCTTGAGTTTGCAGCTCTCTTCTGAACTTAGATCCTAATAGAAATTCCATGTCAGGCACTGGAGTGTTCATATTTTGTATTGTGAGTTTTGTTTTAGGCTTTTTTGTTGTTTCAGTGGATATAAAAGATCCAGACTGTGGACTGAGCATTTGAGGGCCATGTTGCAGTGGATTTCTATTTCATACACCTTCTCTCAAATAGCACATTTTCCATGGAAGTTTACTGCTATAGATAGTCATAGAAACTTAACTGGGACTTCTCCTCCCCTTAATGAGTCAGAGAGTGATAGGTTGTTTGTAGACAAAGGTCATCTATATGTAGAGCTGTAGTTTCACAGAGCACTGCCATGAAAATAATCAGGGTGCAAATGCTGGACGGAGCAGCACCTCCCTGATCATGCCACTGATGCACTTCATTCATGACAGTCCAGTTATATTTCTGGCTATTTATACCTGTGCCCTCACAGAACCTGTCAGTGTGTCCCTGTCTGCTCTTCCCCCTGGGAGCTCATCTGGAAGTCATCATGCAGGGCAGACTGGTACCATGGAGGGGATTTAATAAAAGACCTGTCTAGAGTCTGCAAACCTGTTCCTGCTTGTCACTTGAGCTTGGATTTGAGCTCAGGTCTCCAGAGACTTGGGAGAGACTGAATTTATTGAGTTGTGTGTATTCTGTGATAATTGAGTGAAGCCTTGGGCACAGCCAGGGTCTTCACTGCACCATAAATCAGGGTGGCATTGTAACAGTTTTGTGGAATAGCACTATTGCAAACACATGCACACACTGGGTTGTGAATTATGGAGATGATTTCCTGGTTCTTAGATGATTTTGACAATGTGTGTTTCTCTCTTTATAAAGTGCCCTTAGGTCATCCAGGCCACTTGCTGAAATTTAACCAGCTTTAAAAACTTTATTCCATAAAACTTTGGAACTGAAATGCGAAGTGATGAAACATTAAAAGTAATGAAACATGAAAATGTAACTGAAACATGGACTGAAATACGATGTATCAGAGTTAAGCTTGGATGATAAATCATCACTTGGCAGCCATTAATGAAGTGTACTCCCTTCATGATAGTTTGATTCATCTGTGACCACTTCTGGAGATGAGACTATTGCTCCCTTTCCCTCTTTGTAAAAAAATACTTATGTATCAATCAGAGACAAAATTAAAAGCATGAGCTGAAAGGTAGGGATTAGATTCTGCTAAAATCTACGGGCCCAGACAATTTACATCATGCAATGTGCCAGAAGTAGCATCATTTTTTTCCCCTGTGCCAAGGAACAGAACATTCAGAGTTTCTTGTCAAGGGCAAAGAGCTGCAGTTGTCAGTGATCACTATTTCTCCCCTGGCTTGCCCTGCAAGTGTGTGAGCAATCTGCAGGAAAGGCTGGGACGCTTTGTAGGAAAGAAAAAACTTCTGCACATGGGGGCTTTGAGCATGGTCAAAGCTCCCCCACGAGTGCCTTGTGACAGAATAATTGACTTGTGAATGTCTCTGTTTCAGGCAGGAACATGAGCATCCTGCAGTACTGCCCCACTTCCGATTCCTGGACCAACTTGGAGCTGTGCGACGTGCACGTGCGCAAGCAGCAGATGCTGTCTGTGGAGGAGACCATCTACCTGGTGGGGGGCTGCATCCTGGAGCCAGGGCCCGGCCACAGGTCCAGCCCCAGCGAGGACGTGCTGACCGTGCAGTCCTACAACATCGCCACCAAAGAGTGGCTCTACCTCAACGAGAACTCTTCCAAATCCGGCCTTAACTTGACTTGCACGCTCCACAACGATGGAGTCTATATCTTGAGTAGGAATATTACTCTGTCTTCCAGCTTGGAGCAGCGTCTCTTCCTGAAGTACAACATCTTCACGGACACTTGGGAGACCCTGGGGCGCTTCCCAGCCTTTGGACAGAACATTCTGATCTGTTCTATGTATTTGCCTGATGGGCGAAAAGTGTAGCAACACGAAGGTTTTCTTTTCAGTTCATTATGTTTTTTTGATAAAATATTGCTCCCTTTGAGTAATTCCATTTTCAGAATGTCATCTGGTTGCATAATGCAGGCATAAAATACTGATTCTGTTCTCTAAAAAGGTTTCGGAATTCAGTATGAAGAGAAATGCTTCCAGAAGCATTTTTAAGATGTGGATTTGAACATTTTACTAGTTTGGATTAAAATTTCACCAGGTATTGTTTGCAATTTAAACGTAAAATTATTGTATTGGCAACTGATGCAGGAGTTCCAAAGGCAAAACTGATCAGTCTGGTTTTATTCTTTGTCTTAGTAGACAGTGTAGAACAAAACATATACAATTTGAAAGTGGAAACAATTCAATAAAGTAAATAATTAGTATAATCAAAATCACAACAGGATTTATTTCTTTCAAAGTACAGTTTTTACTCAAGCAATGTTCTGTCAAATGCACTCTGTTTCAGATTCTTTATACTATCCCATTTTTATCTCTTCCATGGCAGCAAGTGAGATTCTCAAAGGTGCCAGCAATTGGGGTCCCATCAAGAACTTTCTCTGAATTATTTGTAGTACAATGCTTTGCCAGGGACTGGTAGGAATTACCTAGAGGCTGCAGTTGCTGATTGGAAAGTAGATGCTCCTTTAATGGAAGTTGGCAGCATTTCTTGCTACTGTTAAGACAGAAGTAAAAAGGCTTTTTATTCAAAGGGTGGAGTTTCCTAATTGTCATAAAAGTTTGAGTCTTAGTTACCTTGCTGTGTTCTGTGGTACTTAAAACTGAGTTTTAAAGCTCAAATTGCAGCTGGCAGCAAGCTGCGTGTTGAGAAGATGTCCCTGAGCAGGGGTGATCCTGTTCCAGGCACATCCTGGTTGGTAGCACTCCTGTGGGACATGCATGGAAGGCTTGACTCTCATAAATGACTCCCTGAACACGTCCCCCAGAGCGGGGACATTGAGTGTTGGCTCATTCTTGTGTCACCAGGGAAGGCTGCCTCAGGTTTGCCACACAACGCTGTACTTCTGTAAAAGGCAACTGTAAGGTGGTCACTGTGAGTTCTCTGTGGGGATCTCCAGTGGATGCTGCAGGAGCTTCTCCCATTCCTGCCTCTTGCCTGACAGAACTGGAGCCACGATTGGCCCCTTTTCTCCTTGCAGCTCACAAGGGCAAAAGGTCTGCTTGAGGAGCGTGCCCAGCTCTGGAGAGTGTGTCCTCACAGCAAGGAGAGGAAAGGCTCTGGCCTACCATGAAAAGAGCCAGGTTAGACGTGTGCTGAACACATTGCAGGGATGCTGGTTCTGCACCAGCTGTTCATCCACATAAGATGAGGTTTAAAGCACCTGAACTCATTCTTAATGTGTGGAGATGTCTTTTTTGTTTTTCCATTAGAATTCAGGAGTCTGAATCTTCTTTTGAAGACAGGGGTCTGTTGTACAGAGGGTGAGGCAGCAATGGTTCCCTCAGGGTCCTTGTAACTCCTTGCTTTTCCACAGTTTTGAATGAAATCTGTTCTTCCTAAAGGGTTGTCAGTCCTAAAGTGCCTTGCCAGTCCCTGCTCACACATTAATCTTGGTGCTTCCAATCACCTGTAGCAACCCAAACAGAAAATCCCAGAAAACTTCTCCAGAATGAGGGCATTTCTGCTTGAACACTTTCAGGATGAAAACAACCACAACACAAGGTATTTTGGGTCTCTGAGATTTACCTTTTTGGGTGGAAATTTTGCAGCCTTCTGGAAAATATCCTGCCTCAGAACAAACTGGTGCCTGCCACTCAGCTCTGTATGACTTCAATTAGCTAAGTCCATGTTGATGTGTTTTTATTTCCTTCAAAGGCATTGTGCAACTGCTGTGTTTTGACAGCAGTATCAGGCCACACAATTACTCTTCTGCACTGAAGCAATTAGGTGATTTTCATAAGATGCTTCTTCCAGAAGTGTTTTAGAATAAATATAAGCAGGGTGCCATTGCCTGGTGATAAATTATCTCAGTCACATTATGCTACCTGCTTCCCTAAATTTCTTTTCTGCTCCAGATTCAGTACTCTACAGTCAGCTGTGACCAATGTTGGTGGAGGGAATCACATCCAAGTTGCATCCAAATTCTTTTTCCTAGCAAATTAACCAAGAAAACTCATCACTCCTGGGTTTGCAGTGGGGTGTATCAAATCAAGTCCTTCCAAACCCATTCATTTCTTAGTGCAGTCGTAATTCCAAAAACTATGATGTCATCTTCTTGGTGTGATTACTCTTTTTCAGAAGAGGCCTTTCCATACTGGGTTTGTTTTGGTTTCAACTTCCAGCAATCAAATGACCCCCTTGAAAACCTGCTCAAATGCAGAAGACAAAGATGTGGCTGACCATAAATACAGTCAGATCCTTTTGTCAGTCCATGGTGCAAATGCCTCCTACACTGACATCTGACAGTACTGTAGTCACAAATCAAAACTGGTGTTTAATTTAGTTTAATTTAAATTAATTTAGTTTAATTTAGCATTAATTAGTGTAAGAATCTAAGTGTACTCCATTACTACAGACTGAAATAAAAATAAATGATTTCTTTAAACAAAATCCTTTACAGAAAAGTATGCAGTGTGTGTGGCCCCATACCTCAGGAAAGAAACCAAACACTGTAATGACTGCCTTGTACCCTGTTTATTTTCTTTCTATCGGTTTTATACTCCATATTCACTTTTTATATTTTGGGGCAAGGAAAAGTGTCTGAGAGCCACTAACAGAATAATTATAACACTAATTTTTAGCCAATGGAAGTTTGCAGTGATCCGGTGTGCTCTCCTTTCTCTGGTGGGGGAGGAAATTTGAAATTTCTTGATTTTAGAAGTAGCCAAAGAGTCCTTGCTGTCTGATCAACTGGAAATTCCTCTGTTATCCTCATGTTGCTCCAAACTTGCCATGAGGGCTCCATCACATCAGCTGGAGTGATCCTTCCAGCTCCTGGCATCTGCATCTCCAAAAGTGACATGTGAGTAGGAATGTTCATCTTGTGGGAACACAAGGGTCATCTGGTATGTAGTGTTTGAAAGAGTTCCTGAGTTCCTGTGAAGTACATTTGTTCTCAGTGCTGTCACTGCCACTTCCTTGGCTATTCAGACTGCTTCAGCAAGTACTAATTACTTCAACCTCTGCTAATTACCTGTAATTTGAACTAATGGCTATTTCCAGCCTGTTTCTTTCATTCCTTCTTTCTTTTTTTCTATTTGGTCACCCAACAGTCTGTGGTTCATCTAAGTTTCCTGGTCTTGGTGTTCCCAAGTCTGGATCCAACCTCCAGACTGCTGCTTTGCTGCTGTGTCTGGGTTATCCAGTGCTTTATATCTCCACTATTTATCTTCTCTGCCTCATGGACCAGTTCCCTGTGACAGTGACCAGCAAAAGCTGATTATGGCAGAGGATGATCCTGAGTTGAAAGGAAGAACAGCAGCCCCCAAAGTCCTGGGGGAGGAGTAAACAGCAAACTCTGGGAACTCAGTCCCTCCTTGTAAAATGCAGAAGCATTTGAGAAGGTTGCTCACATCAAGGCTAAGAGGGAGCATAAAAGTTTCTTCCTTTCTGGGAATGGTTTGTGGTTTTCAATGTGAAATAAGAGTTGTGTGGGGCTTAAGTTTAATCTCTCTGGCTGCTTTCCTGGGTTTCCCTTTCGGCCCTTTCGGCCGACCTCTCTTGAGCTTAATATCTGTGTTTTACATTCTTTGAGGATTTTGCCTTTCTACATCAGTGTCCAGCCCATTTTGCTGAAATCATATGCTAACAGTTTGTTGGTTTTTCTGTGTGTTGCTCTCCTTTTTACACTCATCTGTGTCTATCACTAAGCAGTTTGTAATTCAGGTGTAACCTTTTGATTTAGTCAATTTTGGGCTCTGGGAAGAGAAACCTACAAAGCTATAAATGTTCAGTTTCATTTCAGTGAGAAGTGATGCTGCAGGCACTCTGTGTGTGAGAATTGGTCTGTGTCTGTGTTAGGATGGAGAACAGAGGGCATGGAGTGTAAAAACATTTTTTGTTTATTTAGCACATAACATGCTCAAAGTCCCCCACGTGCAGAAGTTCCTCCTCCCTGCCATCCCTGTGAGGTAAGATACACTCTGTAAACGGTGTTAAACCAGAGAATCCTTGGAACACCTGTTGGCAAGTCCAGCAGATTTATAGGAGTCCATCAAGAGCCCTTCTCAGAGGGCAGAAGCTGTCAGAGTGTGTGGATAAATTGATTTTGCACTTAGAGCAGTGACCAAAGGGTGGCTCCCTAGCCCCACAGTAAGGCTTAGGAGCCAGAGCTCATGCTCTCAGACAGAAAATTTAAACCCTTTTACAGCTGTTCCCAGACTGTGATTTCCATCTAAACCAGATTTGAGCCTAGTTTAGTGCAGCCTCTGGGTTGTTTTTTTTTATTATTTCCTGAGAAGGATAGTGGAGTTGGGAAAAAGAGTCTGGATTTTGTGATCTGATGGGGATCATGCATTCACAGATCTAAAATCACTCTCCCAGTTATACATGCTATATGGATTATTTTCTAAATGCAGTGACTTTACCAGTAAACACATGCTGATATCTCCTGTGAATATCAGTGTTGTCTAAAGTAAGATTTGGTTTCTTTTTTGCAATTAGAAGACGAAACCATTGCAATTCCTGTGCTTTTCTAGTGGAAAGCTGATTATACAGGGTCCAGTTTTTAGAGTGCCCAGTTACATCATGTGCTGAACATCTTCAACCTGTAAATGCTTCAAGAGGGGAGAAAGACATTCAGCACATTAGCAAAGATGTTTCCTGTTTGTTGGTACTTACACCATTACTTAAGATTGAGCAGTGAACACAAACTCTGAATCATCCTTCCCTCCTTCCACTTTTCAGTTGAAATTTATGATTATTCACTCAGGTGATTTTCCACTCTCTGATATTTTCCAGGTGTATTAAAGGGTGTGTCTTGTGATAAGAACACCTTTTATAAAAATTTTCAGCTTCTTCAAATTTACTAACTCTGTAAACTTTCTGGTTTACTTTTATTAGTCATGCTTTGAGAAATGGCTTTGTAGAATTTTGAGTACTTTTCTGTACTTAGTATTGAAACTATCAGGGATTTCAACAGTGCAAGGGCAGGGAAATATCTGTAGCTCTTCAAGGACATGACTTCAGCTGTGCAAGGCCTGAAATGTAAAATGTGTCATTACTTCATTTCCTCTGAAACTTACTCTGATTTGCAGTTAACTAATTTAATTGGGTTAATTTACTAATTTTAAGTTTTACACCATTCACTGAAGTTAAAACACTTTCAATTGAGCGGAGGTTTTGGAGGTGATGTTAAAAGGGCTCTGTGTTCATCTTTGGATATTGTTATTACGATTTACTTTTTCCACTTTGGGACTGTTATAATTGTCTGGTATCCTACTGAATGCCTTTTTATTTGGTTGCAAGGGAAGATTTTGCCCACAGGTAGGGCCTTGATTTATTATGAAGAGCAGAGCTGTGTCATTTGAGAATGTGTATTTTGAAGCTGTAAATTATTGATTGATGATAACTGCTGTGGAGCCCATAAATACACGATTTTGGGTGGTAGGGGTGGAGATTAATCTAGGAAAGAGATGCTTAGAGACAGGCACTCTTTAACCTCCAGGCATAAGTAATTTTCAATTGCAGAACCAGACAGAAATGGTTTTAAAATGAGAACTCCTTTTTCCCTCTTCCCATCTCTTCTGCTGCAGCCCAAACCCTTTCAGTCACAGTAATTTGTGGCAAGGCATCTGTACTTGGAAGAGAGTGTTGGTAGTGAGGTAGGAATGTGCTGCTTGTGCAGGTGATCCCTTATCAGAACTGCTGCCTGGCAGGCCAAGAAACCTTCCTGCAGCTCTCCTGGAGACACTGATGGCTCTTCAATGTCATGTTATCTGCTAATGTGTGTGTGATGAGAGGTGAGGCAGGGAGAGGAGTCACAGAGCTCTATTGTAGACCTGATAAAAATGCACAATACCCTTGTAGAAAAACTGCCTTTTTTTTTTTTTTTTTTTTTTTAGTAGAGCCTGATCCAAAGCCTTTGATGTTAATAAAGAGAACCAGCTTGGAATTAGGCACATGATTGAGTGAATTTGATAATTCTGAAGGTATCCAAAGGGATGTTAACTGTACAACTGGCTGATGAAAGAAGAGGCATAGGCTTGGAGGGCCTTGGCACAGTGTGATCTCTGATATGCCCCATCTGTGGTCTCTGAATTTCCCTGTGAAGATGTCCATTGTGTTAACACAAGCTTAACAAATATGGTGACTCTGCAAAATCAGGAGAATGATGTTTTCCTAGGAATATCTGGGGAGAAGGTGAACATCTTTACAATTATGCTGGTGGGGAATCACTGAGAAAACATTGCTCTCATACTTCTGGTTCTGACCAGCAAAACACGTCTGTGTTTCCTTGTACCAAGAAATGTGGTGTGTGAGGTGAGGTTGAAGTGTTTTACTTTATACCCTGGTGCTGTGAGATTTTTATTTGCTTATTTTCTTGCACAATAGCATCTCAAAAAAAAGAAAAAAATCTTGTATCCAGGCATTAGATCCTTCTCCCACAAGCTGTGATAATGTCATAGCCAACAAAATTACCTGAGTGTGGTCATGTGGGACTGACAGGCATCATCCCAGTGTTACTGTGAATTTATACAAGTAGAGAAGATTTATTTGTACAAGGATTAGAACTTTGGCTGATATTCCATTCCAGGTGAAGCAGCTCCAGGAACCTTTTGAGAACAAAACATCTCGGTGGTTTTCCTCTATAGGAAAGATAAGGGTGTGTCCCACATGGGGATTTGAAATCATTGAGGAAGAGGATAGACTTAAAGCTAAATCTCCTGTGCCTTGGCAAATCTCCCAGTAAACATAAACTCCCTTCTTTCTTCAGTTTGTATGTGTAACTAGTTTTTGTTACTTGCTTAAGCAAAAAAAAAAAAAAAAAAAAAAAACCACCACAAAAAAACCCCAAAAAAACCTCCAAAACCATATAACTCCAAAACTAAAAGAAACAAAAAAAGCAAAACCAAATAAACAAAAAAAAAAAAACCAATTGTGAAGCTTTATGTGGCATAATTAAATTGTCTGTTTTTCAGAAAATAAAATATTTACCCTAAGTTGTCTAAACATTAAACATCTGTACAATGCACCAAAGTCTGTGTGTCCAAGCTTGCTTTTCCTCTATGTTAATTCCCTTGCTTTATCTTGAAATCTGTTTCAGCTACTGGAGTACTGAAATGAACATTGTTCCTGCTGCATCCTCTGAGTGTTTGTAAACCAGCTGTAAACAGGAGTGTGTGTCTGTCTGTCCATCAGCCTGGAATAACTGTACCTGCCTGGGGGGAACTGGGCAGGGCTCTTCTGGCAGGGTGGTTTCACTGGGAGCTTGGTCCAGCTCTTCAAGGCTGACTGTGAAGGCTGCCTGCCGCTCTGAGGAGTGAGAATTGATCAGTGTGGCCCAGAGAACATCCCCTTCCTAAGCAGCATAATTTAATAGTGACTCTGAAATTGTTTCCTTCTGAATTTTTGTTGATCCATCCACCCTCCAACACCCTCAAATCAGAGAGATTTTTCTCCTGCCAGCTGCATTGCATAAAAAGTTCCACTCTCTCCGTGGCCCCTGAAGTCCAAAGTAAACACGCAGGAACATAAACCCGTTCACCCCTTCTGGGCCCGGCACTCAGCAGCCTCCTCACCCCTCCAGTGATCAATAAAGGCCAGAAAGGAGAAAAACAACAGCAAATACTTCCATCCCACTTGCTATCAGAGACCCCCAAGTCACTGGCAGCAAGAAAAATCACTGCATTTTGCCAGGATTTCTGTGCCAAAGGCAGGCTTGACTTGGGAGAGCCGTCCTTGGCTGCAGGCCCCTCTGCCAGTTGCCATAAATAGCTGGAAATTCAACCTGTCAAGCTGTTCCCTGCCAGTCTAACACCTACTTCCTTCAGGTGCCACAGGGTGGGACATATTAGGAACTCAGCAGCCCATTAATTCTTTCCTGGTTTCTGTGGGAGGTCTTCACAGAAGTTCGTGATTTTCTTGAGAGGCAGAAAATTTGGGATTTGAATTCCACCCTCTGCAGCAAGCATGGATCATATATATTAATGCTAAAGTCTGCCAGTCTTTTTGTCAGGATTCAAATGCCCTTGTGCTTTAAAAGTGAATGAAGGAAAATGTTGTGGTGCAACGAAAAAGTGAATTGAGGTGCAGAGTACCCTGTAATTTTAGTGTTCACAGGTAAGTACAGCAATGGCAACTTAGGAAAAAGGGGCAAAGATTTGTCTGTAATGCCTTAAATATGGGGACATTAAATTTCAGGGTCTCCAGAATGGACTCTAATTCAAAAGTTCAGTACTTAAGTGCCTTCTGAAGTGTTTCTAATTAGCCATCTAGAAGGTCTAGTCAACACCCTGAGCTGTTTCTGTAAATTTTACTAAGCGTCTTTCTGTATTTTCCTCTCTTTGAAGGCTTTGCAACTTTGAAAGCACTGTTTGCTCAATGGAACAAATTAAATTGGGTTGGCTTCCCTTAAGCCATGTTATCTGGACAGAAATAGTGCCTCACTTCCAGTGTGGAGCTGCAGTTCTTCCAGTTCAACTCTCCACAGTTTTTGTGCAATGCTTTCTTATTCCAGATAAGAAATTGCAAATACGTTTTATTTGTCCTGTCCATTGAAAGCTGTTGAGCAGGGATCAGCAAACAGGAATCATGTGACGCAGGAGAACCCAGCAATGGGGTTTATTTAAGCATGGAGTGTAGCAACAGAAGCACTGAATGTTCAAAAGGAGAGAGACAGAGAAACAAAAGTGCTTGGAAATAGAAGGTCTATATCTGTACAACAAAGCGATAACCTGGGTTTGGATGCACACCACTTTCGTGCAGGTGTCCATCCACCATCTACCCACTTTTATACTTCATTTAAGCCAGAGTTTGTTTTATCCAATGCTGAGGGACATCATCTCATTTTGCCCCCTTTAATTTTATCTCCCATCTCCTGTGTTTCCCGTGACTGGGACATCCTTTGCATGTTGGAGATGATTTTGGGACGAGGGAGCAGCCGTGCTCTTCTCTCTGTCCTTTGTTCTCTGACAGCAGTAGCTGTTAAGGAATATTTAGGACTCAAAGTTATTTCACATCATTCACTTAAAACTACCTTTCTGTTGGAAGTAATCTATCAGTTTGTGGCTCAAATCTGCAGAACAAATGCCAGTTTTGATGTTGTGTTGTGGCACTGATGGAATCCCCCAACTATGAAAATTATTTAGTTGATCGTTTCCTACGAAGACCTGGGAGAATATTGCATAGTACTTTGTTTGTGGATCTCAGAAAAACCACTTTCCAGGCTTTGCCATCAGAGATCTCCATGGTTTGCAGGTGATCTCTGTGGAAAAGGAACCAGTGGGGAATACTGAGCAGTAGTCTTAGGTTGAATCCTACTGATTTGCACCAGGGAGTGGATTTTCACAGCAGTAAGAGATGGTGGATAGGGGAGAGAAAGATGTGTAGCCTTTCCTAGAACCCTGCCAGTGTTTCACATGAACTTTTTCCAGGTGGTTGTTAGTTCAGTCTGCTCTGGGTCAGGTGGGCACTGTTGCATTCAGAGATTTTTGGTATGAAGAAATGTTCTTCAGCAGGCTCAGATCAGAATGAATCCACCTTGGTGGAACTTACTAGTGAAATTAGGAGTGAGAACTCCCTTTTCTGTGTGAGTTTGAACCAGCTCTGTTTGGCCACTGGCACCAGGTTTTGTGCCAGTCTGTGGCACCTTCAGCTGCTCCTCTGTTTTGGTCTGGGTATTGTATAAAAGAGTCTGTGCACACATTCATCCAGGCCCCTGCTCCAAAAATCTTCCTGTCACTGTTACCTCTGTGAAGATTTTTCTTCAACTTTATGGGATGTATTGTCTAAAAGAAATTAATTTCCAGATAGTCCCTCTCCCTCAAGGTGATTTTGAGTGACCAATTAAAAATTTAAAACTTCCAGCACATAAAAACTACAGTGTTAAAATAATCTTATCATTTGAAACATAAAAACTTACACATTCTCCAGTTTTATATGGATCTACACCCTAGATTAAGATAAGATTGTTTAATGACTTCTTAATGATCTACATGCTCTGTCCTAAAGTAACAATTCCAAATATGATTTTAACACAAACTCCCAATTGTCACATGCTATAAAAATGTCACATTTTGCATTGTTCAAGAACATTTCCAAAAGTAAACTCATATACCTAGGATAAACCAAATGCAATTATTCCACAGCTACAGTTCACTGCTTTTGTGAAGTATACCATGCATTCTATAAATATTTAGCATATAATATAGTTCCTTTAGTAAATATTTAAGTAGCTATCTAACCTATTCCAGCACAGATGCAGTCTTCCCCACGATGGGGGGAAGAAAATGTTGCTAGGGCTTGCTGGATCAAATGCTATAAGTGCACAGCCTGATTTTGCAACAGCAGTGCATCTGTTATCTAGAATAAATATATGGTTTTGACTCTGAAAGGATTATTTGTATGAAGTAAAAACTTGCTTCCAGGAGTGGAGGCTTATTATAATTGTATCTTTTTGCAGCTCTTGATCATGATGGAAATATTTTTTCTTAGGCTGTTCAGTACCACTGATGATTCCCTGTTTGAGGAGAGAACGTGGACTAGAGCACACCAGTGGGATTAGAAGGGGTATAATCTCTCAAATCCATGTTCCCAGATTATTGGCATTTCTGGCATTTGTGTTAGCCTTGCTGTGAGTGTCCTGAGTTTAACTGGATGTCTGTTTCCCTTTCCTATCCTCCATTTCACCTTATATGTGTAAATCTAAAACTTATTTTCCTCAGCTCAGGATTCATGTGTTTATTGATGCACTGTACAGCCTTCAAAGGAAATTCAAAGAAGGTCAGCTCTTGTTAGCTGTAGAAGATGGGAGATTGACTTTGCTTTTTTCTCTAGTCAAAATATTCCAGAGCCTTGAGATCCCTAACCAAAAATATGATGGATTTGCCTGCAGCTTTATCATGATGTCATAATGGGCTTGCAATAACAGCCTTCCAGTAAGACACAATAATAACACACACACACACACAGGGTCACACTGTTCAGCTTTCAGTTTATTCTGCTTTTTGCCTCCAGCTCTGCTCCTGTCTGCTGCTGTGTGATTTGAAAGCATTCCCCACGGGCCAGGAGCAAAGCCGCGGGCTCTGGCACCTCTGTCGTGCTCTGTTCCCTCGCTGGCAGAGCCCCTTTAATGTGAAGTTAATCACTCGCTTCTGAACTGTTTATGGCAACAAATTGGATGTGAAATAATAAACATTGGCAGCTCTTTTCAATATTAAAGGTATCCCGGAGCTGGCATGAGGTCCTATCAGTTTCTTGAAGGCAGACTTTTATGTGTAACCTTCTAAAGCATTTCAGTGAGCACGTTGAGAAATTCTCCTGGCATCTTCCTGGACTCCCAGGCTCTTTTATGCATTAAAGTTCGTGAGAAGCTTTGCTTTTACTTTTTCCTTTTTTTTTTTCCCCCCAAATCTAGAAAAATAAAAAAAACCCCAAATTAAAAAAAACGCCAAAAACCCCCACAAACAACAACAACCCACCACTCTGACTAATTATTTGATTTCTAGTTAACTGGGGCAACACAGGAAAAGCATCTTCATTTTCTTGCTTCAAATTTGGCAGTGATTATTTCTCTCAATTTCCTTTCCCAACATTACAGAAATTTTCTCTTCACCTACACCCACACAAGCCCACTCTGATGGAGCATGAAGAGCAACATCAATGCCTAATGAATGTACATAATACAAAATTGATGCTACTATTTTAAAGTAAAAATTTGGACTTTTAAGCAGCTCAAAGTTTTTGCCTAGCCTAGAAAGCTCTGTGGTACTTAAACAGCTGGAGAATGTGGTTGATTCCAGGTTATTTCTTCCTTTGATTCCAGGTTATTTCTTCCTTTTGCCTCCTAAC